TTTGTAAAACGCCATGAAAGTTACAAATTTTTCGTTGCGGCCAATTAATTTGATTTTTATATATTTGTAACCTTTCATACTAAAATATAAAGTGTTGTTGTAGACTATAATACGCTGATACCTTGTAAATATAACAATATGTTTGTTTGATGTCACTAGTGGTGGACAAACTTTAGTATGTCGAAGACCGTTACCTTAAAACTAGAGAGAATTATTTAAAGGGGAAAAAAATAAGATACACGTGAATATTGAAGATATTCACACATATAAAAAGATTTTTTGTTGATTAAGAAAATTAAGGGGATTTTATTAAATTATTACAATTAAGTTAATAGTGGACAAAACCCGAAGGCAAAAACCACTCTGCAAATGAAGGGACAAACTTATTTCCTTATTCCGGTGATTCATAATAATTTTGCTTTTAATTTAAAATTACCATTATTTTAGTGAGATGTTGTTGTAGATTGTGTATGCTGACCTTAATTTCGTTTATAGTAAATGGCTCAAAACATTTTTTTATTTTTGTCCGTTGGACATAGTTATTTGACGTGCCATATTTTTTAGATGTCAAGACCTATTCCCTATGTGTATATGCGTTTCACTGATAGTAGCGGTTCAGGTTGCTGATTGATCGACTGATTTTATTTCCGGATTATGGAGCTTTTGAATCGTCGCTGGATATGGAGCTTTTACCGGACGGGAAAACGCCAACTATTCATGACATCATCGAAGACACCAATGAAACCTTCGTTAATTAGTTTATAAGATATATTTTAGTATTATAATTGGTTCTTATATTTCTCTCTTAGGGTGTTTTACAGGATTTTTTTTTTATTTTTGTTTATTATTTTTCAGCTGTCCCAAACCTCTCTTAGGTCAGTCTTTAATTATAAGTCACGATGGTTAATTCCGTGCACTTATTTAGTATGATTATTCGGGGTTTTTTGGGGAGAATTAGTTGTACAATTNAGGGTTTTTGGGGAGAATTAGTTGTATAATTAATTAATTTCTGTTATGTATATTAATACATTTAATTTAAATATTTTATTTTGGTAATGCACGATGTTCATTCCGGCTACCATAAATGATAATGTTTAATTTTTTTTTTCCGTTAATTACACCAATAGATCATGAATTTTAATTCTAACTATTGTTTTCTGTAAAACGTAATTTTGCTGCGGTTCGATAGTTAATTATGATAATCGCTCTGATTACTAGCCGTATTAATTTTATTGATATAANTATTACTAGCCGTATTAAATTTATTGATATAATTTATGATTACTTGTGTCGTCACACAATTTTGGGTTTAATTTTGGTACAACTTTTTCTCAACTTAGTCTTAAAAAATTTTAAAAATTGTCCATATTCGAACAAGAACCAATTTTATTATTTATATCTTCTACATCGGCCTACTTCATGTCAAGAGACACGGCCGATATTTTCGTTGCGCGCCCATATGTTTACTGTTTTTCAACTCCTAGTCGTTCGCTTCGTCGCACTGTCGAATGTCCTTCAGACTCGAGTGTGAACCTTCTTAATAATAATAATTATAATAACAATTCTTCTTGTTTTTCTTCACCGAAAATTAATATTAAAATATTTAATTTAAATTATCGCGCTCTTCTAGATACAGGTGCTACATGTTCTGCTATTTCAGAGAAAGTTTTTCAACAGTTATGTGAAACTGTTAACGATGTAAAATTATTACCTTAATTACCTGTAACTGGAGTTACTATCTCCACGGCTGTCGGTGGTCGTAACAAGAAAGTTTACACTCAAGTTCTTTTGTATTTATTTGTTTCTGATTGCCCCATTGAGGGTATTTTTCTGTAACGTGACAAAATATGAATTTTATGATATAGATAGATTTACTGTTTTGCTTTGCTAATGGGCGAGCGTACATTATATCCGGCCGTGTAATCAGAAAACTGTACTGTTGCTGTCAAGGTGAACGCTATACACACAATATTCTTTATCAGTTTAATAATCGTTCCCTATATGACACATACACTGGCCACCACTGTCAATACCTGTATAATTTTAATATTGTTCATATTTTCATCTGTTTTATATTTTGTAAATTGTTAAGCCGATACCCTCTCCCAAACGTAATCGTCGTCGTCGTTGTGTCTCGCCCGGTGTGTAGGAATTTTTCGGGCTCTCTTCCCTTTGAACCACCGTCGTGGTATATTTTGCTGTGTGCGTGCAGCCAATAATAGTTTTTTTTTGTGTTCGTTGTATAAAAATCATGTATTGATTCAGCAAGGCGTCGGCCATTTCCGGGGCCGAGATGCCAATCTTAAGATGAGTCCCATCCGGGACTGGGTATCGTATTTTATTTTATTTAATATATTGTTTTGAGCCCTTTTTTCTGTTGTAAATTTATTTTGTTATGAGCTGTATATAATATTAGCATTGCTGTTTATAAGGTTATTGGTCAATGGTGTGGCATGTAAATTTAATATATATATATATATTATTCTCGCAGTGCCCAAGTACGGTCCGGCTGGCCAGATTACAGAAATTATCCGCCGCGTCCGGAGTTCACGGACTTGTTCCGATGCGGAAGACACTTCATGTGTCATATTTAAAAGTTGTAGGTTAAAATTTTTTTTGTCTTAATAATTGTTTTTTTTCTCTTTTGTCCCTTCATTTGCAGAGTGGTTTTTGCCTTCGGGTTTTGTCCACTATTAACTTAATTGTAATAATTTAATAAAATCCCCTTAATTTTCTTAATCAACAAAAAATCTTTTTATATGTGTGAATATCTTCAATATTCACGTGTATCTTATTTTTTTCCCCTTTAAATAATTCTCTCTAGTTTTAAGGTAACGGTCTTCGACATACTAAAGTTTGTCCACCACTAGTGACATCAAACAAACATATTGTTATATTTACAAGGTATCAGCGTATTATAGTCTACAACAACACTTTATATTTTAGTATGAATATATATATATATATAATTTTTTAATCCACTTTGTTTCATCAAAGTGCATATTATTAGTCTTCTTATTATTTTTTTTTTTCTTAAATTCACTTATGGTCCGGGTGTTGTTCTTTTTATGATCAAGACCCTCGCCTAAGTGGTTGGCGACCCGATTTCCTTTTGCAAGGGAGCCATGAGGGTGGCAACTCCACAATCCGTTGCGTGGCCCAAGTCGTCACCTCTCAAGAGCTGTAATTTTTTTTATTAAAAGCAAATAATAAAACCCAGCATAGTGGTACTACAGCACAGAAAGGACGGAGTAAAATGAGGACATAGAAGTATATATGATATCTGGCAATGAATAACATCACTATCATAAAAAACGCTTCGACGCTAGTCTGTTAAATTCCATAGCTTTTATATGTTTAGTTTTATAATTTCTATGATTTAAAATTTTTCTCGAATAAATAATTAAATACTTATTAAAATATTTACTCATTTGAAAATAACATTGTAGAACAATTGTCGGAAATCTTTTTTTTTATTATAGTACACATCAAAATATGTAATTTAATAAAGGTTAGAAGTTGTCATGTCTTCCGGAATATTGTTAAAAGTGGAGAATCAAAAAATTGTTTATACATGCGCAAGGTTTCTTTAAACCCCTTTCAGCACTAAGGTTATTCATTGAACTTTTATAAACCGCATATGAAGAGAAAGATTATTGTCTCTTGTATATCCTATTAAAATCTCATTTCAATTAGTATTTAAAAAAAAAAAAGTTACATCAGATTTCAAATCAAGAACAAATTTTTGAAAATACTTTTTTTTACGGTAGCAAATTTAAGATAATTTTTAAAAATTCTAAAAATGAGGGGATTTTTATACATTTTTGACTCTTATAAGTTCAATTAGAGTTAGATCCCGTTCTTTTGACAGATTGATAAGTGAATCTGAGTTATATCAATGCTAAAATACACATATTTAAGTAAATAAACAAAATTAGAGAAACAATAAAAATTTTAGTAATTTATAAATATTAATAACTAAATACCTTTAAGGCCATTAAGTTCTCCAATCCAACAATGTTCATCTTTACGACAAATTATAGTTAAAATATCATTTTTTCTAAAACCCAGCTCATCATCATCATGTCGTTCAAAATCTAAAAAAGTTATATTTTATTAGTTTAAATTAAATTGAACCTCAAATTTAATTAATATAATAATTATATTAATACAATTATTGTAAACGCATAAATATAATTCCATGTTATATGGGGCTAGTATTAGATGAAAAGGACAATAGGGTGTAATCGCCCTATCAAATTAATTGGCCCTTGTTACACATTTATAATCAGCAGTAAATAATGTAAATATAATAGGAATCATTAAAATTACCAGTGAGGACTAGGAATTTTTATGGGCAGACTCAAAATAAAAACTACATAGTAAAATAATTTTAACATAAATTAGAAATTCCTACTCATAAAAGGATTACAGTTATAGGGTCCTTGATATTCATTTAAGTTAATTTACCTAAACAAATTTTGAATTTTTTTCCTAAACTCAAAAAGAATTAAGAAAAATGTTTAAAAAAAGGTCAATTCGTCAGACAAGGTTCAAACCTCGTACCCCAAGTATGGAAGACGCTATTAACGACGCGATAATCATTTATTGGAATTGGGTTATTAATAAAATGTACATTTTAAACTAGTTAAAAATTTCAAAGTAGTAGTTCTCGACTTAAAAGTAGCAAAACAATTAAAATATGTTTAACTTAATATTCTATGTCAGTTAGATTCTTATCATTTTTAAGAAAACCAGTGGACTCGTTACTATGGCCTCCTTTTACAAGGTATTTTAAATAGGTTAACAGTCAAAATATTAAAAAATATAAAAAAATATTAGGGGAATTGGTCACCTGTATTAGGTCAAAGCAGATTTCTAAAAAAACACTTTCAAATAAATTTTTGTACAGCAATTTATTAAACTTTTTGAAATTATTACTGAAAAATGTATTTTTTCTTTAACTTTAATGTTTGTTTTCAACACGACGACAAGTCCAGAGGAATATAAAATATTTTTAAGAAAAAAAAATTATATTAATTCGTATATAAGTATTCACAGGGGGGTACTTTAATTAGTACTTTGGGTTTGGCAAACCCGAGGCCCCGCGCTCCTTCCTTCTAGGTAAAAAGGTTGGATACTTTTATCATATTTATTGTCAAATTTAATTTGACAATAAATACTTTAAGAATATTAGAAATTAATGATTCCCCTGTTGGTCGGGGTTAGAATAGACCATCGGTTGTTCCTGCCTATCGTAAAAGGCGACTAAAAGGGACTTGTAGTAGGGCAGCAGCTACTACAATATTGGGTGTAGGTTCATCAGCTATACGCCAGGCAGCAGCCAACAGATACGGGAAACTGTATAACTGATGGCTGCACTGCGATACGGAAGGCAACAGGAAATCACCGTATTAATATCCCAAGTAACAGCAATCAACATGTCTTCTTCTCAAGTAAAAAATTCCGGAGGTAAAATAGTCCCTCGTTCGGATCTCCGGGTGGGGACTACAAGAGAGGTAAGAAGTGTTAAGGATATGAAGGAATATAAACGAATAACAATTTGGAATGTAAGGACTTTATTACAATGTGGGAAATTGGAGAATCTGAAAATAGAAATGGACAAGATGAAAATCGATATTCTTGGAATATCAGAAATGAGATGGCCAAAGTCAGGAGACTTTTGGAGCGGAGAACATAGAATAATATATACAGGTACATCAGAGAAGAAACCTGACACAGGAGGAGTAGGGATTATAATGAATAAAACCCTAGGCAAAAATGTTAAAGACTATATGCAATATGACGATAGAATCATTCTAGTCAAGCTCCAGACGAAACCAAAAGATTGTAACGTAATAAAGTTATCATGAGTATAAGGTCACAAGTAACCATATTCAAACAGTGCGTGTCGTCTATCTGTAGGGTCAGTGTTGCATATACACACATTATTAGTTATTAGACAATCATTTTCCCTATCACCTGTGATCCTTGTCCATACCACATTAGAATGGTCACACTGTCAACTACCCTTTCCATGTGCTATCGAGCCGGTTTGGAAAATCACGGTTATGTCAAAAAATATCATCATTCAATTCACTTTTTTCCTCTTCATCGTGGAATACATTTAGACCTGTTGGCGTCAACCATTTTTTTTGTTTTTTTCTGTGATTTTGTCAAGAAACCAAAGATGGAAGAATAAATTTTTATTTTGGCTTTATTTTGCCATTGTTATGGCAACACCTTAAATCAATAACCTGGACTTGGACAACATTAACTAATTGTAATGTGGTATATTTCTTCTGTTCTTTTCTCTGTTTATCTGTTATCCGTTTTAACATGTTATTTAAGTAATTTGTTTATGAATGATCTGATTATGTGGTCACAAATGTTAGTTACTGACTATATAGATTAACTATAATTTTATATTATAAGCAATGGTCAATCGGTCTATTTTTTCTCTTTCTCTCTTTTCCTTATTTCATGAGCTGACAGTTTCCTCGGGTGTCGTCAGGATGGACATGATGAACATCTCAATGAGTCCTCTACATTTATGTAGAGGATACTCATTGACGTTGGTGACATGTCCACTATACCCTGACGCATGCGTTGGATCTGTCATGCTCATGTTTTTCCTCTTTTGCTCTGTTATATTATATTGTGATTATGACATTTGAAATTTAATATACTCCAGCAAGTAATTTATTCCAGTTAATATAGTTTTATAGCTGATGACTAGTTCTTATCAGGAACACTGATATGATTTTTTATTATTATTATTATTTGTAAGATAACACCCTCGAAGGGCAATGTAGTTCAAGTCTATATGCCGACATCACATAGTAACGATGAAGAGGTAGAAGATGTATACGAAAATATAGATAAAATAATCAAAAATGTTATAGGGGAAGAGAATCTGGTAGTAATGGGTGATTGGAATGTCGTTGTAGGGGAAGAAAAAGTAAATAATGTAACAGGTGCCTTTGGGTTGGGAACGCGAAATGTAAGAGAACGCTTATTAGAATTTTGTGCAAAACATAACTTAATAATCACAAACACTTGCTTCGATCACCATCGAAGAAGATACACGTGGAAAATGCCAGGAGACATAAATAGATACCAAATAGATTACATCATGGTTAAGAACAGATTTAAAAATCAAGTAAAGGAAAGTAGAAGTTACCCAGGAGCGGATATAGATAGCGACCACAATCTAGTAATGATGAAATGCGAACTTAAATTTAAAAGAATAATGGATAAAAAGAAGAAAATAGTGCAATGGCTAATTAAAAATCTGAGAGATGAGAAAATAAGCAAAAAATATAATGAAGACACTAATGATATAATTATTGAAAAATCCCAAAATATTAAAGAAAGATGGCAGAACTTGTAAGATACAATTACAATGGCTGCAACGAAAACTCTATGAAATAGAAACAATGCAGCAAGAAAGGAATGGATTACAACGGAAATAGTCAACATGATAGAGGAAAGAAGGAAATACAAGAGTTTGAACAATATATATGGACAGGAAAAATACAGAGAACTGTAGAATCTAATGATTAGGAAATCGAGGGAAGAAAAGAAAAATATTTGGAAGAAAAGTGTAATGAAATAGAAACCCTCATAAAGACAGGAAGTAGTGATGAAGCATATAGAATGGTGAAAATGTTTTTTGGTCAACATAAGCCCCGAACAGGGGGAATAGAAGATAACAACGGAAGAATGCTATATGAACAAAATGATATAGTGTAAAGATGGAAAGAATATCTAGAAATCCTGTACAAGGGGAAAAAACTTAAGGAAAATGAAACCAACGAATCAAACGAAGAAGATAAATCTGAAGAAGATGACGAAATAGACCCAATTATGAGAGAAGAGTTCGACAAAGCTTTGCGGAATCTGAAAAATAAAAAAGCAGCAGGAATCGATGGAATACAAGTGGAGCTTTGGAAGGAGGCGGGAGAAAAAGTTAAAAAAGAATTATTTCAAATTATCAAAGTCATATACGAATCCGGTGAATTGCCTGAAGATTACGTAAAGAGCCTAATTATAACCATCCCAAAGAAAACAGCAGTAAAGAAATGTGAAGAATACCGTACTATTAGTTTGCTATCCCATGCCTCTAAAATACTAACAAAGATTATATTCAAACGTATTGAAGGTAAAATAGAACAATCATTGACAGAAAACCAATTCGGGTTTAGAAGGAATATGGGAACGAGAGAAGCAATATTGGCGTTAAGGATAATCATTCAAAAAAGGATTAGGAAAGACAAACAAACATTTATAGCTTTTGTGGATATCGAAAAAGCATTTGATAACGAAAATTGGAAGGTAATGTTTAACATGATGAAAATATTGGGGTTAAAATACACAGATAGGAAACTTCTGTATAACCTATACAAGGATGAATCCGCAGTTATAAGGATCCAAGATGAGGAGGAAGAAGTAAAAATAAACAGAGGAGTTAAACAAGGTTGTACATTATCCCCAATTATATTCAACGCATATATACAGGAAGCAATAGATATGATAAAGGAAAATGCCAATCTAGGGATAAAGATTAACGGACAAAAAATAAGTATGTTACGTTTAGCCGATGACATAGTTTTAATTGCTGAATGCAAGAAAGATCAGGCTCAACTAATTAAAGCTATGGATAAAACATTCGAAAGAGTTGGAAATAAGAATACATGTGAAGAAAACAAAAGTAATGGTATAAGAAAGGGAAAATAATACAAGAATACAGATAACAATACGAAACCAAGCAATAGAACAAGTATACTAAAAATATAATACAAAATTGATCACTTGTGGCTAATTAATTTTACTTAATAGAAGAAGTAGATGAATTTACATACTTGGGAAGCGCAATCAGCAAGGATGGAAGAAACTGAAGTGAAATTATAAAACGTATCTGTCAAGCTAAAATAGCCTTTAAAAAACCCAACCCAACCCAACTTTTATATATATCTTAAATTAAAGCTAATGTAATATACTTTATTATGCAAAAAAAAAATTTCGTACTTTATTTTATCTTCATGGTGAAAACAGACATCAAAGTTTATTAAAAAAATACGATTTTTGTAAAAAA